GTCTTCGGATGAAGGGGTTCAAAAGAATTATATCAATCTTGCATGCCCTGTCAGTGGATAATTGGCATCTATGTTTTGGTAGTACATCCATGAGAACAAAGATAATACAAATTATCAGATTGATTTCAGCTGACCTGTCTAGTATCAACCATGTTGCCTTTAGCTTCGTGGCTGATTTTACTGCAACTGCCCTAGGTGAAGATCCTGTAGCCGTTTCTATCCGAAATCCAACCTGAAAATATGATGTGCTATGTTTCGTAAGCTATAAAAATAGTGAAGTGTGAGAAAATATAGGTTTGTAAGTTTCTTCTTTGGTTCTCTGATAATGAGTACTTGTTTTGAATTAAACAGATGCATGGTAGCAGGTTAGAGGAATAAAAAAAAAAAACAACTTAAATCATTAAATGACTTTCATATATTGTGCTATTTATTAAATGTTAATTGACTATAATGTTTTCTGGAGAGTCTATTTTGCCATAGATACCTGTGTCAGTATCTATTCATTAATGATAATGGAGCCAGTAATAAAATGACCCACGCCTTTGCTTCTTAGTTCTTACTTTTGAAGATTGCACTTTCTTACTTCTGATCTGCAAGATTTTGGAGGAACACTTATTGGTTTGCTGCCTGCAAGTTGTAAAAGTGTGCTGTCTATTTTCTATTTGTGATTATAACTTATTTGTCATAACCATAATATTGCCAACACTATAATGGTATTTTGCTAATGCTAGGGGTGGAGGGATTCTTATAATTAGGTAAGGGTATGTAATCTTGAATATGTGAAACTCAATCTTTTGCCCGTCAGGCAATGTAAGTATAGTTTGTTAATGGTTTTCTATTAAAATGTAAGATTTTTGACAAAGTACCTGCATTAGTTGTATTAATTAATATTCTTTTTGACAATGATGAGAATGATAGAAATAGGAAGATTTATAATTTGTCTTCTTTTCCTGCTCTAAATTTGTATGTTGTTACACTTCATAATCTGGTTATGCTTTATATAAGTTCAAAAGCAAAATAAAGACTTCTTAGCAAACTGTTTAGAGTCATTCAGGTGGGAACTTGTTCTGTTCAAAGATTGTTAAAGGTTTCAGCAGCAACCTGTCCTTTTCGTGCCATACTTCAGCATAGTTAACAACGATAGGAGACATGAAAAGAGGAACTGGACAATAGTTAAGGACTTTGCTTATAATATCCACATGATGGAATCTTGAAGAATATGATTTAACAATTCTACATTTTCTTAGAATTTTGTAAAGAATTTAACACAGCTACTGTTATCACATGGAGTGTACTAAGTATCCCTAAGATTATTGCTAACTTAATACTTCGCAGGAGCAATTATTTTTTACCAAATTGCTTTGTGTTCTTTTGGCTGTAACCCCCTCAAACCACACAGAAAATATCCCCAATTTATAGGGCACTGCTTTCTCGTATTTTCACATGATTAAGTATTTAAGTTGCAACAAGGTTTTGGAGTAGAAAGAGTATATATACACGGAGGAGTAAATTTACCAACATCTAAGGTGATGTTTTGGGAGGAAAGTTTTTGAAAATCTCTTTCATGTCTAGTTATCTCTTTTAGAGTCTGTAATATTTAGTAGGTAATAATATGTCAAGAAATTTCTCTGACTGCTGCAACTTTGATATTTGGTTCTCCATGCCTAGCCTATTCAATTAAATATTTATCAACTTGCAAAGGGTACTTGAAGCTTCCAAATGGTCAAATTAACTGTTGAAGTTCAAAGAGAAAACCAAAAAGAGAGAAAAGGTTTATTAACTACCTTCTTTGATTTATACAGTTTAAAAATCTGAACAAGCTCCTCATTGTTCAGATAATCTTCCTTTATCCTTGCAGCTTGTTCCTCAATAATCTTCTGGTTTGCTCCTATCATTAACCTGCTGTCAACTGGGATTTTGTATCCCACTGCCAAAAATATTTGGAAGAAAGGGAAACCAAAAACTGGATTGATTAGTGAAATTAATATGTTGTGAACGGCTTGCAATTGATCAAGCTCAGCCTGAATTACACAACACTCTATATTAAATCTTATTGTTCTTTGATTTTCTTTGTTCTTTTTTCCAAATATGTTTTTGAGGGGATGAATAAAATAAATTTCTGAGAAGATTCCTATAATTCATGGAAGATTGATTACGTACTTGGAGTGATAATCTGATGTAGGACTGCAACTAGGGTGAGCATATCTCCTGCTTTGAGTGATAAGCCATGTTGAGCCCAATGAAAGACCTTTGAATTGATTTCATTAGATGCATCCTGGATCACAACAACACTCTGCATTTCCATTGAAACAATGTTACAAAATTCCCTACTATGAAGGAACTCTCCACTTTTTATTTTTATTTTTATTTCAGAAGAAGTGGTTCAAGGAAAATAGACAATGTGGTTATGAGGGACTAGTTTTTTAAGACAAATGTCAATGCATGATAATAATCTTCCAAAATAGCATTTCTAGAGTTTATCGGCTAAACTAAGTAACCCCTTTGTATTCTAACTATACCCCTTAAAAATGATGATGTATGATTGGCTTAAGTGGCTTAGCTGAAACTCTGATGTTTTGGTAAAATCTAAGCTAATTACCCTTAAATCATTGTCTCTCTATGATAATAGTCATTGAAGCAGGACAAGATTAATTGAACTTTCGATGAAAAAGAATCATTTCCTATTTAAGTAACGAAATTACTAAGCCGGCCTTTAGGCCTCGTGGCCTTTAAATTTCCTTCTATATGAGCAATGCTGTGCGGATAAAGCCAAAAATGGAAGGCATGAAACCAGAGTATGCCGCGTTTTGTATTGAAGTGAAGATGAATCTTATAGATATAATTATTCTCTTTCAATCACTTTCCTAGAAAGCTGCAACATATTATGACGCATGTAAAGCTGGAGAAAGCTGAACAAAAATTGTTATGGATATGTAGGCACAACGTACAAAACAAACACCATTATGTGCGAAAAAAGTTATGCTAGTACAAAAATGTTTTCTTTGCCCAGTACCATAGCCCCCAATAAAAAGGGTAGTACCAAACATTAACTGAAGTTTCAGATGCAGTATTTGTTGTAAAGGATGATCTTAGCACCGGATTATTTAAATAAAATGGTTATTATATTTGTAATAGAAATCAGTATAACAAACTGAACTAAAAGTTTCCTTATTGTGGGGGTGATTTGGGGATTTTAACTTTAAAAATACATCAAGTGACAAGGATTTTAAAAGGAAGATACTAAATGTCATGAAGAGATATTCTAAAAAAAATGGTTTTAGGAATGACATTGATTGAACAACTAAATAAAAGAAAAATTAAATTTTATAGATCATGTGAAAGAGGTTGTTAATGGTTATTGTGTCTCATGGATGAAATAAGGTTAAAAAAATTTTAAGTGCACAAAATTGCAAAAGTAATAAAGTGTAGAGTTAAATATCATTCTTAAAATGAATCTCCCTAATACCGTCTTTGAAAGAGGTTTAAAACTCTAATTCCGAGATCCGTCCCGAATTGAATTAATTGTGAAGCAATGAACACCGGTTGAAATATTTTCAAAAAAAATAAAAATATATCATTCTTAAAAGATTACCAAAAAAAAAAAAATCATTCTTAAAAGGATTGGGTTGCCAAATATCATTTGATTAATCCAACTGATGTTTAGATAACAAATTATTCAAATATGAGTTCTAAAGAAAAATTAGTTAAAAAAGGAAAAACAAAATAAAACAAACTAATAATAATAATAATAATAAGTCATGATATTAAATTAGAGAGTAGGCATGCAATATTGAATATATTAGGGATCCGATTTTACTTGTTTTTTTTTTAATTATATTTAGTATTTAGAATCCTGATTCGGAGATTCCTAGATTAACTAATACACAATTTCTTGACATATCAATTTTTTTAATTCCTAAAGAACCCAATTCATTCTTTAACTTCAATTTAAGAATAAAGACATTAATGATTTATGAAAACTCAATGAATCTCACACAACCACTAATCTCTATTCATAGACAATTAATAATTATGGTATTTATAACATTATCTAAGTTTTAAATAAATTTTTTAATTTCTTAGCAAACCACAAGATCAAGTTTTGAGCGGCTAATTCATAAAAATATTAAAAATATTTGTACACACTAATTCTTTGTAAAGCAATTCTCACTCGAAATAATACTGCACATTTTCAAAATATACGATGCGCTAGCTAGATAGCAAAAGTTAGCCAAATTGCCCAAGCGAGTAATTTGATGGCTCGTAGGTTCATGGTCTATTGGTTATACTATAACTAGTTTTTCTTTTCTTATTATCCATAATAAGATGTAAAAATACTGGTGACGAAGAGAGATGTAAATAGACTGAATCAGCTTGCAGTTTACTTTATATTAGGTCAGACTTAACTTATTATAAATAGTTAAATAAAATAAGTTTAAGGTTTTTTAAAAAAATTTATTTAAAAATGAGGCCATAAACTTTTCTTGTTCATATTGAATTTATAAATTTATAGGTTGACCCATATCATATTATTTATTTTAAAATTAAAAAAGTTAATATACTTATATCAAGGTTTTTATTTTTTAAATAGAGGTCATACCAGACTTGTAATTTGGACCTACAAAGATTCAAAGGCCAACCAGATACAGACCTGACCTATTTAAGAGAAAATCTAATCTAACATAACCTATTTACAATGATAAAGTTTGAAGAATCAATATATCAATTCTTCTTGACGTCGCCTCCTAATTATTTTTAAAAGTCACATTGAGGGGAAAAAACAATAATAATAAATCAATTACAATAATATATTTGAAAATAAAAATATTTCCAAAATTTCAAAGATAATATTATTGAAGTAAAAAAAGAACTCTACCATTGCCTCTGTGTTTTATTTTTTGGGCAGTTTTATATTAATAAATTTTACTTTTTTTTCCCCTAAGGTGAGACTGAATTCAAGGTGGGGGACTTATCTTAGGGTTTGTGCATAATATAAATATCAATTATTGATTGAACATGACCACCTTTCTCCTTCTATCTTTGTTCACTCTCCCCACTCCATCACCACTCGAAGTCTCTTAACTCCACAAAACACAAATGGCTATTACCTTCTCAGATCTACACACCGAGGGGGGTCTCAAATCCCTCGATGAATTCCTTTCTGGGAAGACCTATATTTCTGAGTAACACTAACATCCTCTCAATTACTTTTTTATTTATTTATTTATTTAAAAAAACAATTTTTTGTTGTTTCTGAGATTTGGGTGATTCAATACCTATTGTGGGTTTTCACTTTCAGGGATCAATTGACAAAGGATGATATCAAAGTGTATGCAGCTGTTTTGGAAAAGCCAGGTGACTCATTTCCCAATGCTGCCAACTGGTACGATGTTGTCTCCTCAAATCTTGCTGCAAGGTTTGTTCTTTCTTCCTCTCTCATTTCTTTTCCTCTTGTTGGCGCTTTCAAATATGGGTTTCATTTTATTTTTTTATTTTTTTATTTTGCTAATTTTGAAACTTTTTTTTTTTTGAAATTTCAAATTTATATGAGTAGCTTCCCTGGGAATGCTCAAGGGGTAAAATTCAGTGGGAAATCTGCTCCAGCTGAAGCTGCACCTGCAAAAGCGGTATGCATCTGCCTTAATTTTATTTTTTTGGTTACTTTATGTTTATTGTTTCTGTTATTTTCTTTTTAAAAAAATAAATTTCCATAATTTGCTTATAATAAAATGTGAATTTAGAACCAAATCGGTTATGTCCATTCGGTTTGGGTGGACCCTGAATTGAATATATTTTGGCATTCATTTTTAGAAAGAATAGAGCTTCATTTTGTTACCATATTCATATGTCTGTGTATATTATTTTGGCGTACATTGAAGGCAGTGCATGAATTCTAAAATTGTTATATAATAACGTAGTTCACCTTAGACACAAGATAGTTACTTAAATTATTTTGAACTACGCCTCATGCAAGATAAATTTTGGTGTAATTGTACCTGTTATGGTGTGCTTACTACGAAAAACAAATTCAGCTGAGATATCAACATTGAAGACCGTGCTTGCATTCTAGAATCGTAGAATATAGACTTTTTGACTTTATACAGTTATTAAGTTATTGTGAATGGTAAATCATTGCTGTGGTAGTTGTATTTAAGCTATATGAGAAAGTGGAAAACAATAATCATAATTGATAACAGTCAAGTGCTTTTGCCTTCTATTATTATTAGTACAAAACAAATTTAAGGTTTTTGCATGAATTTCTAAACGATTTTTTTTCTTAATATCATATTTTTTTATTTTTTTTATTTTTTTTCCAATTAATCTTATCATTGGTGATAGTTTTGAATTTAGCATGCCAAGAGGATGCTTCACATGATCAATATTAAAAGTTAAAAATGAGTAGAAGCATACATAAAAAGAAACACAGGCAAAAATACATGAATGTGAAGTTTCCTTTTATAATGTCATAAAGAGGAAAATGTTTAGAAATAAAGGGGCTTTTTAATGTGAATTCTTTACTTCAAACATTATTTACCAAAATAGACTCTGTTAGGTTGGCTCAAACTGACTTAATCAAAAAATTTCCCCTCAAACTGACTTCATTTGTGAGATGGATAAAAATTTATAGAAAAATTATTTCGCGGGCATTGCATGAATGAGTCAAGTTTGTTATGAGAGAAAATGTTACAATGAAGTAAATTTCTGAATTATTTTCTATTGTTCACATTAGAGTATGCTTTGAGTTTGCTTAGTATCAATTAGAGACTAGTGGAGTTAGTTTGATGACCAAGCAAACTAATATAACTAATCTCTAACAAATGCTAATAAAACTCTAACCACACTCTATCTATAGTAACATGGTATGTCATTTATCATCCGAATAATATTCATATTTTATTCTATTTATATGTGTGCTCAATTGTTGTATTCGAAAAAAATGATATGTTTGTAAAAAGAAGTTTTAACTGAGTGTACAAGGTCGTCATACTATTGGGTTTGATCCAATTCGTGATTTGGTAATTATGGTTAGTTTCCTGTTTTTATTGATAGTTAATATCAAGGTATGTAAGATTTGTTTTTAATAGGAAACTGATATTTGAAAATTTCTTACATTAATAAGAGTGTGAGAGTGGTTGATTGCCATGTGTATTCTTGTGGGCTATAAAACTTGTATTGGGGAGCAGTTATGGACTTATTATCGTGAGAAAGGTAAGAGATGCAAAGACTTGGGAGAAATGTAGTGAGAGTGGTGAGGTAGTTTTGGGATAGAGGAGATGGAGAATGCCCACAGGCATTTCGTTATAATGCTTTTTCCCAATTATTGATGTAAGGATGTCCAGAAGGGGATGTGGTATTCCCCAACACATGCATGGTTCTTGTTGCCTTGCCAACTATTGTGCAAGAATGTGCCCAGTAAATGCGACAACAAGTAGTAAAGGGTGTATTTAAGACCCAATATTTTTATGTTACAAGAACTTTGTAATTGCATAAAATAAAATTTGTCTAATACTAATTTACTAAAAGATTAAACAGACATTGCTTCGGAAAACTTAAAAAGTTCTTTTGAAGAAAAATTAAAAGGAGTAACTGATTGAATTAAAAATCAAAATTAACAGACAACAATTGTAAGTTTATTTATTTTTAGAATAGGATAAGCAATAGGATGAGAAAACAAAATGCAATAGTGTAAACTGAAATCAGACTTCACTTGAAAACTAAGACAAAAATAGTTTTTAACAATTTTTTAAAATGGAGTTGGGCTTCCAATTCCCCTCCCCTCTTCTGCCTTTAGAACACTTAGCCACCAATTTTGGCACTTGCAAATATTCCAGCTTAACAAAAACAATTTTGCGATTTTTTGTTTCTCAACAAAAATTATGTTATCTTCATGCCTCAACCCTTTACACATGTTATTTTTTTTTCTAAAAAATATTTCTATAATTAACTTTTTTGATACTGTTTTCTTTTTTATGAACTAGTGTTATAACATGTGAATTTGACATCAAGTGGTTTAATGCCCATTTGATCGTACCCTTGAATTGAATCGTTTTAATATTCAGTTTTAGAAATTATAGAGCTTCGTTCTGTAACCACATTCATATGTTCATTATATATTTAGTTATTAGCTAATACGTTAGCAACATTAAGGTAGTGCATGCATTTTATATCTGTATAGTACTATCTGTATAGTACTATTTACTTTTGACTTGAAATAGTTGTTCAAGTTATTCTGAAGTATATCTCATGTAAAATAATTGTTGTTATAATTGCCCCTGTTGATGCTGTCATGATGTAGTTATTCAAGTTATCGAAGGCAGTGCTTGCATTCTATTTATTTATTTTATTTCTCCACCACGTAATTGGAAGTCCGCCTAATCCGATTCAAGTTTTGTTGGACCCATGTAGGGGGTGAATCTCGTGGGAAGCATTTTTTTCATTGCCATGCTTGAATTCAAAATATCTGATTAAGGGAGTAAGCTCTGTAGTCTTTATCACTTGAACCAATAGTTGTCGGTTGCAGTGCTTGCATTCTAGAACTGTAGAATATAGTTTTTTGACTTTATACTGATAAGTTATTATGAAGTGTAAATAATTGTTCTAGTAATTGTACTGAAGTCACTAAGCGAACTACTTCAGCTATTTTGATCATTGGGATTTATATGAATTTGTCAGGATGCTCCTGCGGCAGATGATGATGATGATCTTGATCTCTTTGGTGATGAGACAGAGGAGGAAAAGAAGGCAGCAGAGGAAAGGGAGGCTGCTAAAAAGCCCACCAAGAAGAAAGAAAGTAAGCTTTCTTTTTTGAGTCTTTACTATAACTTCTTTTACATAAAGCATTTCCCATAAATATCGAGAAAAGTTGTCCTTTAACTTGTTTAATCAACTCAAATCGCCCTGTTATTCTGGGGGAGATAGGATTGTTTTGTTTTGTGGTAGAATAATAGGTTGAAAGCTATGGTGACTTGTCATATACTCTCCTATAGATTACTTTCTTCACTTTTTCTCTTATTTTCCTGCTGAAAGTGCTACAAAACTGTCATCAATTGACATTTTATAGGTGGTAAGTCTTCCGTTCTGCTTGATGTTAAGCCTTGGGATGATGAGACAGACATGAAGAAGCTGGAAGAGGCTGTTCGTAGCATTGAGATGCCTGGTTTATTGTGGGGAGCATGTATGTTAAAATTCTCATGGACTTTTCTCAATGCATATTTGATGCATTTATATTGTATAAATTACAATGTGACTATAATGGTTTGTTGCATATGATACAGCCAAACTGGTTCCAGTGGGATACGGGATCAAGAAGCTGCAGATAATGATGACTATTGTTGATGACCTTGTATCTGTGGACTCCCTCATTGAGGAATATCTGACAGTTGAGCCATGCAACGAGTATGTTCAAAGCTGTGACATTGTGGCATTCAACAAAATTTAAGTTATCTTCTTTAGCCATTTTCAAGCGGCTCATGTTGGTCTATTTCAATGGTGGTTTTGTTCCAAGAATTGTTACAAGCTAAGCGTGATTATTGTGCAACTTCTAATGTTATTTTTGTAAAAACGTTTAGTAGATTTGTGGGATTAACCATCCCTGAAGTCAATTGTGGTTTGGGAGCATAATTTAGTGATTCTCTTTTCGGTGCCTTGTCATTCTCGAAAGCAACATAGTATTTGCTGACCTTAGCTTCATAGAATGCAACCACCTATGATACAAAATTGTGGGGTAACACCACCACACAATCATCATTGCCGGTTACTGCTATAGCTATCACAACAACTATATCTTGTTACTTTGTTGATCAGCTAACACGTTCACTCTTGATAATGTGGATGTGCAAGAGAGTTAGAATCATGGAAAACGGACAAAAGGAATAATGTTGATGTGCAAGAGAGTAAGATTCATTCAAGACGGACAAAAATAATTATTTTAATTATGATAAGTCAATCATTTTGTTTTCTACTTTTATAATTTTCTTGATGCTCAAAGAAATAAAAAAAGAATTGCACCGTTAAATCATGATTGAAATGGTGCTTTATGTCGACCAAAAAAAAAGAAAAAAAAAAAAGAAATGGTGCTTTATATTTGCTATCTTTAGAATTGATTAGAAAATTTTAACTTGACTTTCGGATTTATTTATATATTTTATGAAATTTGTCATGGAAAAAATTTTAGTATATTTTTCATGTAAATAAAATATTTATATTAAGTTATATTAATGTTTTATGAAACTAAAATTTAACAAAAATTGCTTGGTAATTTCATTAAAATGTAACTAATTATTAGAAAATATAATTATATATATATATATATATATATATATATATATATGTGCATTTGTTCTATAATATTTATTTCTCTTACCCTTTATAATTAAGTTTAGAGTAAACACCCTTTTTAGTCCCTGGCAATATCTACGAAGTCTTTTTCAGTACCTGGCAATAAAATTGGTCCCTGAAAGTATAAGAAAAGGGTCACTCTACATATTTGGGAGTTGACATAAGGACTAACATGGCCCCTTTTTTTGTAATTTCAGGGACCAATTTGGTTCTTTTTTATTGCCAGGAACTAAAAAAGACTTCGTAGATATTGACAGGGACTAAAAAAGATATTTACTCTTAAGTTTATTTTTTTAACTGAACGATTCGAAAACAAAATGCATTTTCTTATTACAAAAGAATTACTGTATCATAAACTTTATATAAACCTGTAAATGGTCTGTTTGTTTGGTAAAAGAAGTTGCCTGGATTAGAGCAGAGCAGCCATACATGAAACGGAGGGCTGTATTGTGACACATAGGGATGGGAATATAGATACTATTTTATAGATCATAGATAAAAAAACATTAAAAACAATTTTTCAACTCTTAATTTCATACAATACTATATGAAATTATAGAAACAATGATGCATACCTTATAAAATTAGTGATGCACATTGTAAAAGGTCAAACAAATGTCTAAATCAAAAGTCCGGACACTTCATATATTAATGGGTGACATTGACATAGAGTTGGTTGGGAATCCAATTACAGCACATCATCACCTTGTCGTGGTTTCACAGACTAAATCGCACTTTTCTACTTCAATGATCCAAGGCCCTTCCCTTCCTATGTGGGTGGGTATATCCACTTATGATACCCTTAACGTCAATGATCTGTGCTCCGTCTTTCCTATATGGCAAGAAAAATTTTAAATTATTTTTGAAATATGAGGTAAGATATTTCACATCAGTGTCAAATTTAAAATTTGATATTTCATCTGAAAATTGTTAGATAAAAAAAAATTAATGATGTCACATGCTTGCAAATCAGAGTCGTAAATTTTTTTTTGATCTAATAACTCTCAGATGAGATGTCAAAGAATCTTACCTCTTAAAACATATATGAGTTTAATAGTATAATAAGAAATATATCATTTGATGTCCTCCTTTTAATATTTTTTAATTACTAGATGAAATATCTAATTATATAACTTAAGCTTATTGTTTTTTTTAATAGAGTTAGCACAAAAAATTAACCAGAAATAAAAAATAAAAAATATTAGAAACTTATTATTAATATCTTTCTTATGTTTTATGTTATACCGCTTGGCTGATTGGCCATTTAAGATCAAATTACAGTCTTTTCTCTCCTTTCATGTTGTTGGGAAATATAATTTCTAATGGGGTCAGTGTTGCCACCCCCTAGTAATAAATTTTTTTTTTTTTGGTAGACAATAATTTTTTTATTTTATTTTTTTCATTTAATGTAAAAACAATATGGATCAACTAAATTGTGCCACATGATATAATCTATTGAGTGCCAGGGCAATTGGATTTATCCATATTCCTTTTAAAAAATATTTTCTTTTTCTTTACTATAAAATACTCACTTTTCTATATTTACTGACTTCAAATACTTCTACATATATATATATATATTTAAACATTGTATTTTTATTATAATATGATTTAAAAATATTGTATGGATTTATTAATTAATTGAAAATGAATTTTCCTTTTTCCCATCAATTATAATGAATTAATTAATTACAAATTAATTATAATCAATGCATTGATGAAAATTTTATGTACATTAATTATAATCAATTAATGAATTTACACAACATTTCTAATAATAGATTTACTCATCTCAGTCTAGACAAAGATCTGAAAACTAATAAGAATTCATAATTAGTATTGATTTCGAATTGTTATTATTGTAATTAATAATAGTAATAATCTATCAATTAAATTGCATCAGTGATTAAATTATATAAAAAATAAAAAAATAATATAAAAAATATTGTTGCATGGGGGTTATGACATTGATCATCCCATTAAAAATTATATTCCCAATTATACCAAAAAAAAGACAGTGATTTAGTGCCTGTTTGGATCCTCTCTTTTTTAAGCTACAAGCTACTTATAAGCATAAGCTAGGCCAAACAGGTTTTGGGAAAAGCTCTTATAACGAAAAGCTCTTTTTTTTATAATGAAGAAAAAAGCTGAAAATTAAAAGCTCCTAGGAGGAGCTTTTTTTTAAGCTCTTATCTGTTTTTCTTGAATTGTGTGCTTTTTTTTAAAATAAAGAGTGATAAAGATAGAAAGAGATAATTTTCTTGAAATATGTGCTTTTAAGTAATTTTTAAGCTAAAACTTTTATGTAATTTCCAAACAGCTTTTAGCTTATTTTTTTAAGCTCTTTTTTTTAGCTTTAGCTTATAAGTAGCTTCTAGCTTAAAAATAAGAGGATCCAAACAGGCTAATCTCATATGGTTCAATCCAAACAGCCTATACCGCTTACTACTACCACTTCTTTAGCATAACCCTGATTTTTTTAATAGAACTCACATTTTAATTCCATTGCAGTGACTGAGCAATATATTTTAATAAATAACTAATATTATAGAAAATTATTATATCAATGTTTAGAAATATATGAGTAATAAAAAAACTGATAAATTCATGGGTTCATTTTTTCTGTAGTTACTGCAGATAAGTTATCTGCAGTAAGCCCAATACGATGTCGTTTTGGGGCAGAAATCATAGTGTTTTGTAATTTTAATTTATTTCAGAGTCATAATAATCTTTATATTTTAAATGTTTTAAGATTTCAATACCAAAACGACGTCGTTTTGAAAATAAATGCAGATAACTTATCTGCATTAAGTGCAGAAATATTTTTCCTAAATTCATAATAAAAATCATACTATAAACGGCAAACGAATCATATTTTACAAAAATTATAATGTTATTGTACTTAAAATGTAATTAAAATCACACTGAATGACTCATGATGAGAATAATTAGGTATTCTCTCTTTCTTTTTGCCGAAATTTCATTGAGCGTTGGGGTAAATTTAGAGGTAACTTCCAAAACTGGAAAACTACATGAGAAAGCGTGTTCTATTATTATTTGGACTTTATTAATCTCATATTGCATGATATATCTTCTCTTTTATCATAAACATAATCATGTGGTGGAGTTCATTTATTTATAAAAAAGAAGAAAAATAATATGAAAATCGATGAGTATGTAAGAAAGAGAACTATTCTTAACAATATGAGACTAGGTTTTGTTTTGTTTTTTTTACTCTTCTCAACCAATTTATCTTTCGAATTACTCTTCCAGTATCATTTTTTCCGCTCCATCATACTAGTTTTTTTACTTATTAATTATATAGAAATTACTAAGAAAGTCTCTGTTGGAATTTCCATTATCTTTAAAGTTGTTTATTTTATTTTATTATAAAAAAGAAAGAAAGGGTCATATAATATCTGAAGTGGTGAAAATCAGAAGACTTTTTTTATCTCAGTGGAACAACCTCAAAAGCACAACAGGTTTTCTCTCTCTTCCTCTCTCAACCTTTTCTTTCTCTTACTCTCTCTCTCAGGTTCAGAATCTCACGGTACTCGGTTCTGAATTCTTGCTATTTCCTTTGGTAAGTTCACTCTGATGAATCATGAACCTTTCAGCCTTGTCCTGCCAAAATTTTAGCTCTTTAGACTTATTTTTAGTCAGTTCTGTATGATTTTGAGCTTAATCTGGTCCTTGGAGGAAATGGGTATTGGTTTATTGAAACCCCATTTGAAAAAAAATTGTGCTTTGATTGCTATGATTTCTTCTTAATCTTAATTTTTGGTGGGGGTTTTGTTATGATTTTTATCTACAGATCATGATTGATGATAAGTTCTCCTTGCTTCATGCATGAGTTTTGTAAAAAAAATTCTTCTATTTTTAGAGAAAATTTGATTTCATTTCAATTGGTCTATTAGGATGAATATGCAGAGAACTTTGCCCCCCTTCTGTAACTGTTGGGCCTGATTCCTGAACTGTTCTTTGTTGTGCTGATGGACGAAAATATAGCTCTTGTCTGATAGCAAATAAAATGTATCATTGCAATTGTTGTGTTAGGCAATTTTAGACATGATATTTGGCATTTGGTCAGTGCTTTATATTGTGGTTGCGTTGCGGATCAATGGTGGCCAATGCGGTCCGCAGGTACCGCCTCATGAGGTTGTGGCAGCCACCACAACTGCAGCCAGCAATTTCAGTCTGATGCGGTTGCGGTGGCCACTGCAACTGAGATGTTGCAGCCGTATTGCTGTCTGCAATTTAAAACCTTGACTAGTTTGATGGATTCATTCAATTTCTATTAATGTTTTGCATTTTGTGATTTTGTATTTATTGTCAATTTTGTTTGTGTCTCATGATTTGATTTTGATCCAAAGATATGGTTAACTTTGTAGTAGCAGCTACCCTATTTGTAGTAGTCTTGATTTGCCATTGGTTGGAAACTAAGGTGTCATTTTTTAAGATTTTACGTGCTAGGTAGGAATATTTTGCTGTCATTCGCATGCAACACAATCAAAGCTTTCTTTACTTTATTACAGAAAATAACAAAGCCATCTCTTCTTTTCTTGTTATGAGGCCCTCTAATCTGGTGGCAAGATTAAAGTTCTGGTTAAAAGAAAGATGTGATCTTATTTTGGTCCCTTTGGTTGTTCAAAATAATTGGAGATAACCTGTTCCGGTCTCTCTGTGTTACTAAGTTACTCCTAGTTAGGTTATACATATCAACACTAGCATAGCGAATAGGCATATTGTTTCTTCAACGCTTATTTCATTTATTGATAAATATTTTTTGATCTATTAATTGTTTTTGTTTCTGAATATGTATTTGATGCAAAAGGGAAGTTGAATTTTGGTGCAGATTTTGCAGCTTAGAAGTCTAGTTAAAGAGAAAGAATGTCAAGTGTAGCAACACACTGGTGTTATTCATGCAGGCAGCCAATTGTGCTTGACGTGGGAGATGTTGTTTGCCCTATCTGTGATGATGGGTTTGTACAAGAACTTAATGAGTTGCAAGGAAATGAACCCCAACATACCACTTCATCACAGCTGGGAGAGTTTCATCAATTTCCTGACATTTTGGATGCTATAAATGCTTTTATGGGGCGGAGAGGTTCTGACCCGAGACAAAGGGTTAGGAACCCTGTTGATAATTTCATGAGGCACAGAATGGCTGGAAGACACCCAGACTTTGATATTAGAGGGAGGTCTGGTTCTGCCCCAGTTCCTGAACAGAGTTGGGGTGTTTATAGTTCTGGTCCTTATTTAATATTTCATGGTCAAGTTCCTGGATTCAGCTTGTCTAATGGCAGCCCAAGAAGTGGTCCCAGACGCGGTGATTTTAGTGACTTCTTTATGGGCCCTGGACTGGAAGAACTTATTGATCAACTCACCATGAATGATAGGCACGGTCCACCCCCCGCCACTCGTTCTTCAATTGATGCGATGCCTACTATTCAGATCACACAGGCACATCTTCGATCAGATTCACACTGTCCAGTTTGTAAAGAAAGATTTGAACTGGGCTCTGAAGCCAGAGAGATGCCATGCAACCATTTTTACCATTCTGACTGCATTGTTCCTTGGTTGGTTCAGCATAACTCATGTCCTGTTTGCCGTGTTGAGCTGCCACCTCAAGGACAGGTTAGTGCTTGCAGTAGTCGAACTTTGGCTGCAAGAAATGCCAACAGCAGTGGTGGCAATGATAGCTCCAGCAGCAGGGATAATAGCAATCAAAACCACGGAAGGAGAAATCCACTATCATTTTTGTGGCCATTCCGTTCTTCTAGTTCAAACAGTAATCATTATGCTGAGACTGGGGGAAGCAGCTCTTCAACCTCTTCTGACCAGAATAATGGAACAAGATATAGTGGATGGCCCTTTAATCACTAAAAGCTTCATTTCTTCTCCTGGATAAGAATAATTAGCTATCTAATAATGCTTGTAATTTACAATGAGAAGGAAAGAGTTTCTTAAGATTGTATTTTGAACTTAATCTCATGGGAGGAAGATGGAGGATAGAAGTTTGTTAAAATCTTTGTAAATGCAATTGCTTGGTAAGTTGAATCTCTTTTAAATTTTCACCTGTCATCATACATTTTGATTGTTTCTTTCTGCATAATGTGTTTTGTTCCTTTAAGGGGCTGTTAGATGAAGCTTTTAATGAGTGAAGCCTTCTGCAAATTGACTTGCATTATTATAAGTCTTTGGTTTCCTGTGTGTGGTGCTTTGAAATATGAAAGCTTATATGGAGTGAGTGCACTTGAGAATGATGTCAAGCTAATTACCCTCTTTCTGTTGGGTAGCATGATTATGTAAAACCCATCAACTAGAAAATTACGATACATGGAAATTTTATTTAGTTTGTTATTGAACATCAGGACTAGTAACATCATTTGACTGTGTTAATGTAGCCTAGAGTCGTGCCCTTCTTGTAGAATGAATGAGATAAGTGATAAGGGACAACATCAAAAACATCTAGTGGGGTCCAACCTTTGATGATAGACTCTTGACTCTTGCCTTTTGTGATTTTGTCTGTCATATACTAAAAATAAAAACAAAGGAGGGACCTTGTTGGCATGCATGCGTTAATTAGTATGACAAGGTGTCACAAGCAGCATCATTTTCTGGCACTAAAGGTTGTATTGCTTGTCCATCTGTTGCGCAAAATATAAACAAACAAGAAGGATCGCATATCAAGATGCATTTTGGAGACTACTCAGGAATTTTTTTATGCTAGGCTATTGTTCCAATTTTATGTTGCTTTCCTGGGGTTTCGTTGTTCCGCAAACTCTTTTCCCCCACGTGAAAATAGTATTTTTTTTTTTTTAATGAAAAGTAAACAAAAAAAATTAGTATGTGTTTTTTTTAATGCGTTAAAACAAGCATATAGGCAAAGTAGAGTGATGATTAGCCTGGTAAAGGATAAGATTTCCCACATCATTAGGCATTCAAAAAATATGTATCACTACTAATTGAGTTGCTAAGTCATGGTTATTTTTATAGTTTGCTCATTGATATTTAGGAAGAACATAGATTTTAAGACTGTTAAAGTTATTTATTTAGACTCAGATTTTTCGTTTTCATTTTATTTTCATGATAGTTTGAAATGAATTCACAAAGATTGTGACATTTCATCAACTTCGTGCTCTAACTGAACAAATATGTAACAATTTCTTCTACTCAGTCGAACCATTTTAATTTGGAGTAATTACATTGATTTCTCTTGAAGTTAGCATTTATTACATTAACACTCTTTTTGTTTTGGAAATTACACCTACTTATCTTATTTTGTTATTTTCAATGAGATTTTGTGTAAGGTCCATACATATAATAAGGAAATATATATATATATATATATATATATATATATATATATATATATATATATACTTAAATAAAGAAAATTATCAGATTGTTAGAGCAATGTATTAAAAAAGAGATACTGATGTAATTTTTCAAACAAGAATATTGTCCTTATAATGAGCCCTAACCTCATCAAAAGTGAGTGTAGTTAGCCCTACCTTGATTTTTTTTCCTTTCCTTTCCTTTCCTAATTTTGAAGACCTTGGATGAAACTCCCTGTAATACTGTGTTCCAAGGAAGATTCAAATCCAATGAGCCTCGGCAGTGTGGTCTTTTGCATCAAGGGCAAGATGAAGCTCACATGTTTTGTTCTATTACGGTCTAACAAGACACAATCTATTATTGGAGGAAAAATGGACGGTTCACAATCTCTTCACAACCCTTGGAAATTTACTTTATATAGTAGGGAAAAAGTGAATTCAAGAAAAAAAAAAACAGTTAAGGATTTGAGTACTTATACAACAAACTAGACTTATGCCAATTTGAAATGCACTTAATAATTAGCTGTCATCATTGGAAGCTTACGCCCAGCCCCAATTGCATATAGAAAAAACCAAAGTACTATGTCACATTCGTGTGTTTATTTATTGTTACTCTTCTTCATTTTGGGTTGTAATTATGTGTTTGAAAGACTATGGTAACCTTTTTACCTCAAGAACACAAATTGAAGAGAGTTAAAACTTTAAAAGTCAAACAAAACACTGCACAGGAATATGGTTTGAGGGTCCAAAGGAACAAAATGGAATAATATATACACGACCCTTTTCTCCAAAGTGCATCCTTAACCTTACACAGTAAAATATGCTTCAATAATAATTAAAAACAGAAACAAAAGAGTGAAAGAAAATAGCCATATGGATTTTTCAAAGGTGCTGCAAGTTCTCAATTAATTCAGAAAGAACTACACATCCTGAACCCCCAAGCACGAGTAGTAGGGTTATCCTCCCTCCTGGAACTAGGTCAGGTAGTTTCGCAGATGGAGATGAATTTGAGTACCTATCAGACCAGGACATTGCAGCTGGAACAACTCCGAAAAGCACCAACACTATCTCAGTTACATGAAATGAAACAATGAGAAAAACTTGCTATGTCAAAATTAATTTTCAAGAAATAACTATGCATTTACATATGTTTATTGTATTACAAATAAAATGATAATGAAAATAAAGAGCAATTAGTTTAGCACATGCAGAGGCAGATATTTTAGCTATACCTCCATATGTTCCAGCAAAGTCCAAGGCTTTAAAAAATATTTCTGGGTCTAACAATGATAGTATTAGTGGTGGACATAGAGTCAGTATATATGGCAGAGGTCTGTTCTGGCCTGTTGGGAGTTTCAGCACTGAAAATCAACACAATGAAGCAATATAGGTATCATTCAGATATTTTTTATAACATACCAACAAATGACGAAATCTGAATACTTGGAAAGTCATTTAGGGGCGTAGGCATTTTTTAGGATTCTCGAAAAACTGAGATTGGTAATCATATTTATCCATGTTCGGTACAAGTTTTTTAAAAATTTTCCGGGAATCTGATTTTCCCGGAATTTTATTTTGTGTGTAAATTTTTTTAAAAATACCATTCAGGGGGTGGTATTCTAGGATTTTTATGGCAAGGGAAAATCTAATACAACTAAACATAGCATTAAGAAAATTAACCCAATATTTCTGAGAATATTTCAGTCTACCAAACACTTTTTTGGTAACATTTCCAGAGAGTCTCATCTTCCCATCATATTCTTGAAAATCGCGATTCTTGGATAAAAAAAAATTTCTCTTCTACCAAACGCCCCCTTAGTATTTAGAAAATTCAAAGTAGATTCATGTCAATTGCTAGTCTTTCTAATGTGAAGTATACTTGTATGGTGAAACATACAAAGAGGTATAAGCTACATTGAATCATCAATTAATTCAATCAGATTTCAGTATTAGCTTTTAATCTAAAGACAAGAAAGACAATGAAAAACACAACACTTACAATCTGCAAGAAAGTCTGACAAACCCAAAACAAATCCAATGTAAGATGTAGCAATTGCTAGAAGTGAGAACACCTCAACTATAGGCTGCAGAGTTTGGAGGAGGAGGAGAAAAAAAATTAAGAAAAAAATATTGTCATCAAAATACTGCAGGAAATTTTGTATCTCTAATGCAGTTGTGTCTCAAAAATACTGGAGTCTGTCATAAAACTTACTCCAACTGTTCCATTTGTAGATCGCAATTGTTGTAATGGATCTAGACCCATTACATTGTCACTGATAGTTCCCAGGATAACAGCATCCCAGATGAGAAACAGAGAAAGAGGTATACCAGTGCCTAGGATTATTGCAGTCCTGCAAGAAAAAACCTGATGATTTTATTTAAAGCTCTAGAAAACTTCAAGTAGGCAATCCAACAAATATTAGAAGAGATATCACCCGGAGCATTCCCTAGTGTATAAGAGGACAGAAACATAGATAACTAGATTCATTTGAAGGAAGTCGAGACATTCTCAAAATCACAATATTATGCATGGTGTTCCATGTAACATCCCGAGCGCTGACGAGGGCGGAGAGTGATCGCCGGTGCGAAAGGGCATGGACTAGGAGCGGCTCCTGGCAGGCTTCTAGCAGGGAGTTACATGAATGAATCGAATCGATACCCGAAAGAAAGAGATTCCAAAGACTGTGCAAGTATGAGACTGCACAGTTTGGGAATAGCTTATAAGAATTAATTGGTACTACCTATACTAACAAGATGCATCTACTTTTCGGTAGACCATAACGGAAGAACTCCATAGTTAAGCGTGCTTGACTTGCAGTAATTCTGGGATGGGTGACCTCCTGGAAAGTATTCCCAGGAAGTGTGCAAGTGAGGAAAAAGCACACTGAGAAGTCTCGTGTTAGTATGTGGGGATAGTCATTGATTCTTGAAGCGGTCGGGTGTTACATTCCATGTGCATTTATAATGTATTAGTACATGTTTGAAAGCCTAAGCTATCCCTAGAACAAGATGCTGAAGAGTGCTACCCCAAGTTCTCAGGATCGACCTCATTTCTGACTTTGTACAAGCCCATGAAATCATTGAAAGAAAGAAATGCATTAAAGAACCAAGCCTATGAAATAATATAAAACTTCTTAGGATATTACGCAACACAACAACAAAGATTTGGCCATTATGAAGGAGAAATCTAACATTTGATATATTCATTCATGAACACTTTAAACATAACCCTTTTTCACGTTGGGCATAAGGTTTTGGACTTCACCAGCAAACACTTGTTCAAATTTAAAGGCATGGGTGATGGTAGAAAAAAATTAACCATTCAATCCCAGGACAGCACGGATCAGGCATAAGCAGTGCCATAAAAGTTTATGAATTCTGAGGACCTACAAAACTTTCACAAAATCTTTTTTAAGATGGGAAAAATATTCCCAGTTTTTTGTAATTTTGCTCTCAAATTATTTTAGAATTATAACAATGAGATATCAAAATAACAACTTCACAAATATTATTATAAGAAAAATTCCAAAGGTAAGTGAAAAAAGTTATTAAAGCAAAGAATGACGATGTGATTTGTCACCTTACTTTTGACAAGTCTCCTTCAAGATTTGTGCAAAGAACAGGTACCACATTCTGAATAAGCATATCAAAGTGTTAAAACTTGTCCATTTTTCAATAACTGGAGGTTAGTGATGTTACCTGGTAAACAAATGAGAGTGCAATAATGGGTATACTCATAGGAGCCGCTTGGAAGTTGGCTTTCAGAAGAGCATCCAAATGAATGTCTCCACTTGCAACTGCCTAAGATAGAAAAATTAATCTCTGTCTCAACATGAATAAATATACTTCATAAATAATTGTTTCAAGTCCTATAAACCATGTAATTCTTTGTTACCGCATGAAATATAGCAGTGCTATAGAATGAAAGAGAAAAGCTTTTATTTCAAACAGGTTTCTTTTCTGTTATCTGTGCTTTGGACATGTAATAAAATTTAGTGTATAAATTCTTAGGCTTTATTAACCCAGTTGGAACACGTTAGGAACTTTTTATTCATGCAGCAACCTTAAGATGAATAACCTTCTCCTTGTCTAACTAATGTTTTTTTATCCATGCCACCTACAAAAATTTTGTGCGATCTTGCATATCTGTGTGACTAGCATTTTAATTCAGACACAATACACCAGATGAAGTAAAATAGTCAAAATGATTAATCAAAAATTAATTTTGTTACAATTGAAAATTGAATTGGAAAAATAAAATCATTTTGAAAAACTCACACCCCTGCCACCCAGGCCAATCAAAAAAATAAGAGTAAAATGATGGAGGACTTAAAGAAAAATTCATAGTTCTTGGCATAAAAATCTTACCACAAGAGCTGCAAAAGAGCTGATGATTCCAAATATTAGAACCCCATTAACTGCACCAATAAAGCGCTGGCTACAGATTCCAATTGAGTCTTGTCAATTAGAGCTACAAGAAGTTAAATATTTCATTTAAGCTCCTCTTCTTTTTTCTCTGTTAGTTTTCCATAGGCCATCTACAGATCTTTCATAAAGTTAAATACTGTGAAGATTAACTGAGATCTGTAACTGTATACTTTTACATTATGAAGAAAATTTACACGTGGAACATCAAGCAAGTAAAATTTACATGAAAAGATCATGTGAATCACATGACAAATGTATACGTAGTTACAAACATAGAAAAACTGTGGCATGCAAGATTCATCCCACTAGACAAGACATGTTAATAGTTTTTTTTATTACTAACTTTCATGATGATCATTTGATATTATAAAAGGATATAACTTGACAGTATGTAAATTTAGATCAAGAAAGCATGAAGAAAGCTAAACTAACCTTCCGAAGAAGCATATGCCTCCAGAAATCAATGAAAATAAAGTTGCACTTAGCCATCTGCGACCAAAATGCTAGTATCAGCCCCCAACAAGCTTTCAAGGTTTACTTGGAATACCAAAGATAGAGTTGGGTAACAAAACAACAAAACTAGGAGGAATTATTTCAGTAAAAAATTTCGGCATTAGTTAAGGCAGAGTTAGTGGCTTGTACATGGGAATGCCAAGAAAATTTGTCAAGATATCTGAAGAACGGGCCACATAGGCAACAAGAAGGGCATAATGGATGAATATGTATGACCAACTGCAAGAAAATGACAATCATTATTAAATATTTTTTAAATAATGAAATGAAATTACATGAGATCATAACACATCTTCCCTAAGAAAAGTAGCTAAAATAATATATTAATATACATTTATAAAAGAATTAAAACTGAAAGGCTAACAAGAAATAAAGGTTTCTTAATAATCTAATCAATTATATGGTGGTGCCAGTAACAAAAGCAGTAGTTAAGTCAGTATTTTTATATCTACAAAGCATTGACTGCTTCTGCACACCCTCTCTTGCAGCATTGAAGAGACAGCTCACTGAGAAAGCATTCCTTTTTACTACTGAATTAATGCCTTTTTAAATCAATTGTAGGATGTTGACATAGTGCACCCGAGTTCTAAGCCATATTATGCATGTTGATTTCCATAGTTCACATTCATAAAATATACAAAAATGATTCACGAACTTACCATGAAATTTGAACCCCTGCTGTCCCTAAAGTTCTTCTGGCCATTGATACCTGAACTTAATCAAGTTACTAATAACCTAAACAGGTAGATTAGAAAGCTAAAAATAATCAGAAGAACAAAAACTCAACAGTAGAACACAAAAATTTAAGTTTTCAAAATTTCTAAGATCATGCATCCTTTTCTACATATCCATCTTTCTTTCATAAGAAATATATTATACATATCCAAAATCATAATAAAAGGAACCCTTCACTAAGTCGGGATTCATTTGACATAATTTAGGAATTAGGTTGCAGTGGTCAAACACAGGCTACTATATATCTGGATTGTAGTATCTTTGCTTTAAGGAGTTAAGAAACAATCTTACTTTTACATCTGTCAAATCTATGCAAGCATTAAGCAAGTAAGAGTAAGCAGTAGAATGAGTTAGCAGTAGAATGAGTTACCAGTGATACACCACCAGAACCCAGTTCACACATGGTTCTGACATTTACTTCAGCGATGAGCAAACCTGTCACAACCTGCCGGAGTTCTCATCAGACATATGATCATGTGTGTTCCTTTTTGTGTGAAACAAAGTAAAGTCTAGCTAGGTACATAACTTTCTGATAGAAATTTGAGGTTATAAAGTATTGTGTGCTTGTAACAGTAACATTGGAAGCTTGTGAAATCTAATTTAGTTAGCATTGCTGCCATGACAAATCTTGGTACTATTTAGGTAGGACATGCGATTCCTCTCTCAATATTGAGTTTTATTATTTGGAAATGATGCATAATAGACAATGATTATTACCATGAATATCCAACAAAGAATGCAAGTAACTGCAGATGCTAAAAAGCCTGCTTCTTGTGTCACTGCAGGAATTGCAAGGATCCCTGCACCCACCTGTGATATTTCTTTGCATTTGAGGGAAATAATGGCGATAAATAATGCTTGAATCAATACACACAAAAACAATCATCAAAAAGGGAAAAGTAGTCATAAGTTTTGCAGCAATGAATATGGAATAATAAAATATAACAATGAGGAAAGATATTCTAAGCTTCCCATGTGAGCAGTCTCACCTTGAATTATCTTCAAAACATAGGGCATATCTTACCATTTACATGAAGACTGATATTTGATAACCATTGTTCAAACCTAGTAATTAATACTATGCTCATAATTTTAATGTAATAACTAAACTAGAGTATTGGTAAAGTTGTTCATTTGTTTCCCTTTTTATTTAATAAACTGGTTTGAAGACCAATACAAAATTTTGCATAAAAGAAAAAGAAAGAGCAAAACTGGCGCACCGTGGTGCCTGCAACCAGGAAAATTGCACTAGATAAGCTTCCTGACAATATTAACACAATGAAAAAAAAAAAATGAATAATTTTACTCTGAAGAAAGATAACAATAAAAGGGGAAGGAATTTTCAGACTTCACAATTGCAAATATAAACAGAAGAGAAAAGAGGTGTGCAAATGAAAAAACCAGGTTCCCTCTTCAAAGTGGCTTGGTTAAGGTTTGAGAACAAGCGTTCAAATTCAAATGCTTGTTGTTGTTCTTCTTCTTCTTGAGCAGATTGGGACTGCCTCTCTAAGAAGCATTTGTGGAGGTTTCTCCTCAAAGAACAAGGAAGATACACACAAGTTAATAAGCTGGATTGAAGAGTGGTTTGGTGAAATGGAGGAACCTTCCATAATTGTAGCTGCTGCTGCTTTCTTGGTTGTATCACATGAGTTGGAACGTGGAAGAAAGGAGAAGAAGAAGAAGAAGAAGAAGAAGAAGACAACATCAACATTTTATATGTTTTTCTACATCAATTGAACATTCTTTTTGGAGTGGCAAATTCGAATAAAAAACATGTCCATGCAATGGTTATTAAAGCTGTAAGTTTAACTGTTACTGACAACAATGAAACACTATCCACCTCTAGTTCCATAGAGATAATGTGGGCCATAGTCAATAATAATAATAGTAATAATAATAATGTGTTGTCAAACACACAAGGCCCTAGTTGTGCAATGAAGTCATTTTCAATTTAAAGCCAAATAACTTCTAGAAATTGTTAGAAATAAAAACTTACGGCAAAATATATCAAGTTTTGTAGAGTGGATAAGTATAAAAAGGAAAACTATATTTATAATTGATTTAATTTAGAATCAGTTAGTAGTTTGCTGAAGCTCCAACCTCAAAGTAACCAACCTAACAGTTATCCATGGTTTCCTCTCATTTTCTTTGCGTTAACCATTTCTTCCCCGCTTCTCGGAGTTATTCCAAAAACATCCATTTTTATTTTTTTTTTATGTTTGAATACAAAACATCCATTTTCAATTAAGACCAAATTGGTTATTCAGTTATAAGTCAAAAGTTTCAGTTTCAGAGAAACAGGTGGTTAGAGACAGAACCATGGTTGCTGATTACACAAGCAGAATTGTATACTTTATATAATTGTTTACTTGACAAAAACCAACAAGACGGAAGATGTGTATAATGATTTGGAATCTGTACTTTATGATTACAATTTTATTAATGTTTCTGTATCAATGCGTTCACTTGGCAAAAAGGTTTGGCATTATTTTGCAGTTAGAGAGCTCAAACAATGCATTAGAAGTTATTTAAAAAAAGATAAAAGGACAGAAAAAAAGAATGTTATAATAATAACTTGATTTGCTAAGGATGAAAAAAAAAAAAATCCGATGTCAGTTTCGGCTTCAGTACAGGAAGAATATGTAAAAAACGTTGACCTTGTTAACATTCCAACGAAGTGCTTTTAAGAGAACTTATGTGACAATTTTGATATTTGATAGATGGCATCATATATATATATACTTGGCTGAAAAACTCGACAAATAGACATAAGCAAACAAGAATTCGGGATTGAGACCAGTTATGATCGGATAAGTGGCTTCGGCTGATTTCTTAAAAAAATAAAAATTCAATCCAAACGTGACCTTTGATAACAAGATGGTATTACTCGTCAAAGCAACCATCTATATGACTTGAGTAAAGGTTTTAAACGGATCCATATCGATTTAAGTTAAACCACTAGAGCAATCGCAGAGCAAACCCATCTATACGGTTGTTGTAGATGGTTAGCCTAAAGAAGCTTCAACATTAGATGTTGGTCATCCATTCTTTTAATTCTTACAATTTTTTTAACGTTTATTATTCACTTAACTGTTTTTAATATCTCGCCAAATTATAAATTAATCCAGTAATATGCCTGTTTTTCATTAATGCAGTTAGACCTATATTCTAATATAAAAATAACATTGCTGCAGCCACAAAACAAATCAATAAAAACTAAGAGAACAGTGGCTGCAGCTTACTCAAAAAAAAGTACCGGGTTGTTAGTGGATGAGTAGCGAGTGTGAATGTTAATGTGCATGTGTGCAAAGTATTTTTAGATGCTTACTCCCATTACCACCAATAATCATCAACTGTAGAATCATTAGAACCAACATCAAATCCACACACACATTTCGGTCTTTCTTTCATTTTATTCATTCACTTTCTCTCGTCTCATTCTACAGAGAAGGAGAAGAAACAAACTGTCTCGGTAAACTAAAAAGATCTTTCCCTTCAAATGGAGAACTCCACTCCCGAGAACCAGCGGCAGATGTTTCGGCAGAAGCTACCCCACCATCTTGCAATCCAGGCATGGGAACAACGTTCCCATTAGATACTGATCTCATTGACGGTTGAGCAACAACTCCAGAAGCATTTGAGTCATACATATGAGTACTACGATTTGAAAAAGGTGAAAGTCCTAGCCATAAAGCATTTGACCTTGGTGAAGATATACCTCTATCCAGGGACCAGTCTATGTTGGTATAATCGAACTGCATTGACCCACCAGTGTTCCAGTCTACAGGAGAAGATGCCCCAGATGTGGCTGCTGATCCTAGCCCGGAAAAGAGTCCAAGAGAAGAAGCAGCAGCAAGCGTTGGAGATGCACCGGTTCTATTCCAAATGCCATTCCCTCGGTTGGTTGCTTGTGGATCTACTGAATTGCTAATGCCAGCGACAAACTGTTGTTGAGGTTGATACTGAAGTTGTTGGTACATTTGATTAGAATTGAGATAGTTTGAACTGAGGCTTCTAGTGCTAGGGGCGTGAGATATAAAGCCATTAGACCTCATAGCTTCTACACTGTTACTTGGATACCAACTGGCAGCTATTCCAGGAGGCGATGAACTCATGCTTGTGGCTGGAACCTGCTTTGCATTTACAGTTTGGGGCCGCTGCATCACGATTACCGGTTCTCTAGCTACTCCAGGTTGAAGGTTCTTATAATCACCTCCAACAGATATATAGCGAGATTCAGTCTTAGCAGGTAGGGGTGACACCTGCAAAGGTGATGCCAATGAATAAGAAACTGAAGGATTAGAACCTGAACTTGGCCACCTTTTGTCAGCTGGAATGGTAGCCTGTTGTGGCTTTGCCCATTCAGACTTAGGCGGGATTTTCTTTAGAGGTTGCATATTTCTATTACTAGTTTCTGAGGGTACTCCAATCGTAAGCCCTGCCTTTGTATAGTTAAAATCCTTTTCATCTCTTTTGGGTTGATTCGGAGAAGGAAGAGATTTTGTTTGCGGCCTTGAGCTCTGACTCACAACTACTGACTGCTTGCCATTGTTAATAATAGGAGGATCACCAGTTTCCTCTGACTTTGGTGGTGCAGATGGAGGATCATGCTTCAATTCTCTCAAGGTCTCAGCAGACTTCTCAAGATCACCCTCACAAGTAACTATCACTCGTTCAACTTCCTGTTTTGAGCAACCATACCTGGTTTCCAAGTCTGCAATCCGAGCAAGTTCTTCTGATATGTCAATTTTCAAATTGCTCCTACCTATGTTTTTATCCTTGTGATTATCTGCTTCTTCACCACCTTCAAACAGCCATGCTACTGATTCCTCCACCCTACCTTCGTTCAATATCAGTGCCATTGTTGCCCGTTCATGAGAAAATCCCATTGCTACAAGCTGTTGAGCAAGTGCCTCAAGTTTCCTTGACATAAGATAACCACTGCACCGCTCATGCAACTCTTGTGCTCGCCTTTCCTTCTGCCGCTGATGTTTTTTCTCATTCTTCTGGCGTATTTTCTCTCGCTTGTCATTATCAGCTCCTGGTACTGATTCCAGTCGGACGGGAGGATTAGAAGTTTTATCTTTTTGATCTTCAGACTCACCAGACCAACTATCATTATTAGAAACAGAGTCATACTCAACACCAGTTACCACTGAGCTTCCAGGATGTTCATCTGTCTCATCTATGTTCCGAAAACGACCATTAGAATGTATGGGTGAGGTAGAAGCTGTTGGTGATGTTTCCAGAGTATGGAATGTTCCTAATAATGGGTTGTATGCACTTGCGGGAATAACAGGTACTGCATTACCAGATCCTGCAGGCTTTGCAGAAGCCTTCTGAGCTTCCTTATTTGCCTTTTTGTCTTTAGACTTGGACCGGGATGCAGGAGACATCTCCTTAGAATGCAATAGCCCTACAACAATTTAAAGAAAACAAGTTTTAGACTTTTAGTACATTATTTTCTACTACCAAATAACATTCTGTTCACATGTGCTCCCATAAATAAATAAATCTGTTCACATCAGTACCCTCATGTATTTCTGTTGGCAAACAAGTAAGCACTTACAAGTTGGAGAAACTTGTCGATAATAAAGCAAATGAAAATTCCATTCCCTAGTTTGAAGGATAATAAATAAACTACTAAGGACAAAAAAAAATGAACAAGGGCAAAAAGAAAGTGAACAAGGCAAATGAAAAAGAATTAGGGAGGAGGATTTCCTCCTTTTACATTTTAATAGATTAAAAAAAAAAATTAATCACTCAAGGTCTGTCTGTTACCAATGAAGTCTAGCTTCATTTATGTGCATGCAATCTCTGGTCCTTTTAATGAGAATTAGGGATTTCAAAAATTAAAAATAACCCATCTGACAACAAAAAGGTATCTCTCTCTCCAAAAACAATGGGCATGGCACAGCATCAAAATTGAGAAGGTTTAGCCTCCATTTGACCAGAAGGAGGCACAACACAAGTTGATGTTTTCTAAACGATTATTGAAAATATGAAATTGATAGCACAGGTATTACAAAATCCAGAACCACTTTTCACACGTCTACAGCGCTTCAATCAAGTATAGTACAATATTGAGATTTAAACAATAAAATAAAAAGTAAAGAGAAAGAATATAAAGAACAAACAACATGAGAATGTAAAAAGCCCATATTTTCAGATTGTTGAGATATATAGTCCCACATTGGTTGTATGTGCAACCAATGTGGAGTTTATAAGGCCTTGGGCACTCTCACCCTTTGAGCTAGCTTTTGGGGTGGTGTATCTCAAGGTTTTTTACATGGTATCAGAGCCTCGCCGCCCCCCACTTTCTCTTGTGGCGTTTCTTAGCACAGGTAGGCTGGGCCTGTTGCATTGTCCACTCTTCAAGCCCAATGGGCTCTTGTGTGAGAGGGCGTGTTGAGATATATAGTCCCACCTTGGTTGTATGTGCAACTAATGTGGAGTTTATAAGGCCTTGGACACTCCCACCCTTTAAGCTAGCTTTTGGGGTAGTGTATCCCAAGGTTCTTTACACAGATTATCAACTGCAAGAGATTATCAACTGCAAGACTAAATACTACCATTTTCCACCATTCTACTTCTAAATTAATGAACATAGTAGAGCAGTATGGTGCTATAGCCCCCACACTATGCACGAGGTTGAAAGAAGGGTCGGACCCATTGTGTGGGTCCATAATAGGCAGCCTCACCTTGCATATGCAAATTACATGAATCGAACCAGGGAACTGGTGACCTCCGAGTCCAATGCCAACAGCACCAACTGTTGTGCCAGTGTTCCCTTCTAAATTAATCAACATAGTAAATATAGAAAATGATCTTTTGCAGATGGACATAGACGCCAATCCTTATAATCTTAACTCAAACAAAATTTAACATTCTTCCAGAAGGCCATTATGACTCTTTCCCAAATTTTCACACGAATCAGTCTAACAAAAAAATCAAAAATTGGGAATCAACCATGATACCACAATTCCCCCAAAATATGATATGTATATCCAAACAAAGAAAAATTCCCACTTCATGGCAAAAACAAACATATTGCCAAAGGGTGCTCGATACAAATAAACCTAATACACATCAAATTCGAGATTGAAAAACCGCAATCCCTCTCGAGGATCATCACGAGTCTCACGCGATTCCCTCTCAAGGATCCATTACATTTATCCTTCACCAATCCAAACAGACCCCAAATTCCCAATTCCGTAAAAAGCGAAATGAGGAATTCGAATCACCGACTTCCTTCCACGATTGCACCACACCCAAAACCAAACACGCGGTTTATTCCTCCCCGACACAATCAACAACGTAGCAACAGAATATTTGAGATTAAAAGGGGGAAAAAAACCAAAAGAGGGAAAATTGAGAAACAGAGGAAGAATATGAAGAACAAGAACAAACCTCAGGTGTCAGAGAAAGGAACGTTGATGATGATGGAGCGATCGCTGTTGAATGGCAAAAACGTTAAAGAGAGAAAGAGAGAGAGATAGGTTTTTCGAGGCTGAAACTGAATTTGGCAGAATTAGGGTTTTGAAGAAATAGAGATCTGGAAATGAGAAAAACAACGAAACGATTTTTATTTAAAAAAAAAAAAATACATTAAAAAAAAGGAATTTTTTTTTTCTAATTACGGAAATCTAATACATTTGTACCTTTTTTTCCCTTTTATATTTGTCCCTATTTCTCTTATTTCTTCTTAATTCTCTTTTAGCTTTATCTCCCCTTTTTGTTTCTCTTTTTAATATTTTTTATATTAAAAATCATAAATTTTGACTTATTTTCATATGGTATAATACAAGATACAATATTATATCGTCTGATACAATCTCCTTTCTGATATACCCCTCGATAGGTATCGTCTAACATAATTATTGTAACATCCTGAGCGCTGACGAGGGCGGGGAGTGATCGCCGGTGCAAAGAGGCACGGACAAAGAGCGACTCCTGACAGGCTTCCAGCGGGGGTTACATGCACGAATAAATCGAATCGACACTCGAAAGAGAGGGATGTGCAAGTATGAGACTGCACAGTTTGAGATAACTTATAAGAATTAATTGGTACTACCTATAATAACAAGATGCATCTGCTTTTCGGTAGCCCGGAATGGAAGAACTCCTTAGTTAAGCGTGCTTGACTTGGAGCAATTCTGGGATGGGTGACCTCCTGGAAAGTTTTCCCAGGAAGTGTGCGAGTGAGGAAAAAACACACTGAAAAGTCTCGTGTTAGTATGTGGGGATAATCATTGATTCTTGAAGCGGCCGAGCGTTACAAATGGTATCAGAGCAGGGTCTCTCTTCCAGTACGGTGCGGTTCAAGGACGAACCAGGCGGAAGCTGGCGGGCATGCAACATCCCGAGCGCTGACGAGGGCGGGGAGTGATCGCCGGTGCAAAGAGGCACGGACAAGGAGCGGCTCCTGACAGGCTTCCAGCGGGGGGTTACATGCATGAATGAATCGAATCGACACCCGAAAGAGAGGGATTCCAAAGACTATGCAGGTATGAGACTGCACAGTTTGGGATAGCTTATAAGAATAAATTGGTACTACCTATACTAACAAGATGCATCTGCTTTTCGATAACCCGGAACGGAAGAACTCCATAGTTAAGCGTGCTTGACTTGGAGCAATTCTGGGATGAGTGACCTCCTGGGAAGTTTTCCCGGGAAGTGTGCGAGTGAGGAAAAAGCACACTGAAAAGCCTTGTGTTAGTATGTGGGGATAGTCATTGATTCTTGAAGCGGCCGAGCGTTACAATTATCAATATTGTACGATACGTAATACGATTTATACGATACAATATGATTCCACATATGGTGGGGTATATTGAAAAAGGGTTTGTATTGAACTATATAATATTATATTGTACGATATAATACATATCGTGTATTAGACGATATGAAAACTAAATTAATTTTTTTAATTTTTAATATAAAAAATAAAAAATTAATTTAAGATTTAAATTAAAAATATATATAAAAAATATTATTAAGGAAGAAAAGAAAATAAAGATTTAGGTTGTGCATGACAACCATTTTATTTTCTAGCACTCTTTCTGAAAAGAAAGAGTTCTTTTCGATTTCTGTACCTTGGAACAGTTTCTGAGAAAAAAATATGTTTGATAACATGTTCTATTTTTATTCCGAGAATGAGAATTGTGTTTGATAACACAACAAATAATATAACAAAATATAATTCTTATTAAATATAAAAATAATTCGGATCATCACTTTTCTTTTTATATGGTGTGGTTGTGGTGGTGGTGGCGGCGGGTGGCATGGTGGTGGTGGCGGCGGCGGGACGGTAGTGGTGGTGGCAGTGATGTGGTGAAGATAGTGGTGGTGGTTGTGACGGCAGTGGCTGCGACGATGGCGGTGGTAATGGTGGCAGCAGCGACGGTGGTAATGGTAGTGGGGATGGTGGTGGTGGAGGTGACGGCAGTGGCTGCGACAATGGTGGTGGGTATGGTGGTTGGTGGCGGCAATAATGGTAGCAATGGCATGGTGGTGGTGGTTGTGAAGGCATCAAGCTGGTGGTGGTGGTGGCAGTAACGATGGTGGTAGGTGACAGTGGTGGTGGTGGTGATGGTGGCGATGACGTGGTGATGGTAGTGGCGGGGGTAGTGTAATGGTGACGATGGTGGTGACGGTAATAGCTGTGACGATGGTGGTGGTTGGTGGCGGCGGCGGCGGCGACGACGGTAGTGGCTGCGACAATGGTGGTGGCGGTGGTGATGGTAGTGGTAGCGTCGTGGTGGTGGTAGTGGTAGCGATGGAGGTGGTAATGACATGTGATGACGATGGTGGCGGTGATTACAGTGATTGCGATGATGGTGGTGGTGGTAGATGGCGATAGTGGTGATGGTGGTGGTGACAGTGATAATGGTGGTGGTGGCGGCGGTGGTAGTTGTGATAGTGGTGACGGTGGCATGGTGGTAGTGATGGTGGAGGTGGTGGTAATGGTGGCGGTGGCATCGTGGTGGTGACGACGGCACTAGTGGTACAATGGTGGCGGCAGTCGTGTCGGGATGATGGTGGTGGTGGTGATAATGGTAGAAGTGGAGAATGATTGAGAGAGATAAGTATTTCTCATTTTGTGCCCGCGAACAAAAAAGCAGAAATTTTTTGATTCTTTTTTCTGCCCAAATTTCATATAATAGAAATAACCTGAACACCTAGGGATTAAGATTACATCCAAGTTTTATATAAAAGAAATAACCTATGAATAGGATTACATATACCAAAATTCATATCAATATAATCTATGACTCTCTAGGGATTAGATTACCTGGTCTCCGTTTTCGCTAACTTCTAGAAGAAAAGAGTAATTTGGGGCAGAGAACCGGTTGGTAACCAGAAGAATATAAAATAAACTAAACAAAGTTTTTGAACTAAGAAGAGAGAAGAGCAGAGGAGAAATGTTGAAGAGTGAATTGGTTTGGTTAGGCTAGACCTCTATTTATAGTTGAAGTTTTTAGATCAGATATGGGTTTCGTGCATTTATTTCCTTTTTCTTTATTGATGTATCTGGCTCAGATTTTGGCTTTATACATTATTTTCTTTTTATTCTTAATTTCTTAGAATATAACTAACTTATTTGCTAACTCAAGGCTGACTCATGATTGACTCATCATATCTAATCAAATTACTAATCAATCATTATTAATCAAACATAAATACATAAATCATCAATCAATTAATAAATCGATTAATCATAATTTATCATCTAATATATATATATATATATATAATTATATATATTATCACATAAATCAAATAATATTACTATTATTATTATCTTACCTCTTATTATTTTAACTATTATTAACTCATTAATTAAAAATAGTAAATACCAATATTATTAATTACAAAAATACTAAATATCATTATTATCCATAAAAAATTTATTATTATATTATTATTATTATTATTTTATTAAAAGAAAATATGGGGTATTACACAACCACCACCGCTATCTTCACCATGTTACTGCCACAACCACTACCACTACCGTACTGCCGCCGCTGCCACCACCACGCCACCCGCCACCATCACAACCACACCACATGGAAAGGAAAGAGATGATCCAAATTTTTTTATATTTAATAGAAATTATTTTTTATTATATTATTTGTTGTGTTATCAAACACAATTCTCATTCTTGGAATAAAAATAGAACATGTTATCAAACACATTTTTTCTCAGAAATTGTTCCAAAGCATAGAAATAGAAAAAAATTGTTTCTTTTCAGAAACAGTGCTAAGGAATAGAATGGTTGTCATGCACACCCTTAATCTGTGATTAAAACTCAAAAATCCATCTAAAAAATTTGTATTAATAAAGTAAATAATTAAATAAATATTTTAATAATGTTTTTTTATTTTTTATTATATTTCTATATCTTACAATTTGATACGATTCACGATACAAAAAATAGTCAAACAATACACTATGTCACATCGTACGAATTGTATCGTGTATCATACGATACTGATAATTATGATTATACTTACTACAATTATGTGGTATTGTTGATTTGAAATTGATCCAACAAACTAATCAGATAATAAGAATAATAAATCTAAAATAGTAGTAAGTATAACCTTGTCCTTATTCTATAGGATTCATAGAAGTTTTGCTTTTCAATTTATTTATGAAAAAAAATTTATCCTTTTAAAGAATATAACATTATGTCATTTTATATCCTAACATTTGATTTTCATCGATCTACGATTATAATTTATTGAGTCAAATTTATTGAGTTAAATTTATTATTAATTAATTAATAAATTTGAATCAATAAATTATAATCATTGATTAATGAAAATCGACGGTTAAAGCTATATCCATTAAAACGACTAACGTCTTTCTGTTTATTTATACCTAAAAATTCAGAATAAATTCGGTAGATCAAATCTAAAAATGGACTGAATTAGTTTGTCAACTAACCTCCGTAAATCGTATGTGTATATCAAAACATTTTAAGCTTTAATCACTAGTATAATAGATTTCGTACAACTTTATGGGAAGGAACACCTTTTATATAAAATTGATGTTGGGCTAAATATTTTCTGTACTTATAAGACCTTTATTAATCTTCCATGATTAAAAAATAATTGATAATTCCTTTTGGCAGCAATTGGCTTCACTAGTTCAAAAGTCTTCAATTGCTTCGTTTTATTTTTTTAAATGAGCGTTGATGATTATATCTGTGATTGGGATATACGATGGTAAATTTTAACATGATAAACTTATGAATTTTTTATATTTATATCAACATGTATTCATATTAATATTGTGTTTGCAAATTTAATGAATGATCTTAAAAAAATTCATGTTGTATTCGTTTTAGCTGTATTCGTGTTGAATGTTGATTTAAATTAAATAATTATATATTTATTTTAAATAATTTTATTTTTATTGTTAAGAGATTCTTTAATGATTATTTTGAAGGAAATATAATATTATGTCTATCTCTTTTTATATTTATTTCTATCCAAATCACAATCTTAACTAATAATAAGGGGAGAGAAAAATGATAAATGTGAATTATGATTGTAATTTAATTATAAAAATATATAATAGATATGAGAAATACCTTGCTATCACAATTTTAAATAAGATTGGCAAAACGAACTCAGCTCGATGGGCCGACCCGTCCTATTCGTCCAACAGGGCGGGACATGCTTATTTTTTGACGAATTCTTATTTTTTGACGAATTGATAGTGAGGAGAACGAGCTGAGGTGGGTTAGTGTAAAATAAGTTCTGGTCGTCGGGCCAACCAGTTTCCCCGCGAAACAGGCGAGACTGAGTTTTTTAGCCTACTTTCAAAAAAGAGATAGGGCAAGCTGACTCAATTTTTGACGTATTAATGACGGAATGAAGTGGGGCGGAGCGGGCCACCTTCTTCACCACCTCTATTTTTAAATGGTAAATATTAAAACTATCGCTCAGAAATACTGTTATTAATGGAGCAGCTCATCGTCATTACCTTTGTCACCGGAGTCTTACTGAGTTTTAAAAATTTCATTCCTAAAACAAAATTCATTAAACAAATTTTGTGTATTTTAGACAATTTGTGTATTTTTATTGTCTCAAATAATATATATATTTTTCTTAAGAAAGTAAAAAGAAGAATATATTTATTTATTTTTTTGAAAAAAAGGTGGATCTTTAATCTTTAGTAAACTATGTATTACCAAAGAAAAAACAAAAATTGGAATATAGTATTTATTATTATATTATGTACATATATTGTAATTTTTAAACTTTTAATTAAAAAAATAAAATAAATGAATTACTCATCAGTATTAATGTAACTTTTAAACTTATTTATACATATTAATTAGTTTTTAAATGTATAAAACTAATTTTTTATTTCCCTTTATTTCATAATAATGATTAAGGTATAAATAATTTATAAATTCAAAAACTAATACATGCATATAAATAAAGGAAAATTATACTCTTATATTGCATGAGATTCATTTTTCATGTTACACTCATATAAAAAGATATATCTTTTTTTTTTCTTCTAAAAAGTGAGTGGGCCCCATTTTATTTGTTTCGCAACATAAGATAACTTTCCCTATTGTATAAGAGAAATAAAATTCATAAATAAATTGATGAACTAAATTGAAATACTAAAATACTTATTTATTATTAAATGTGGTGTTATATTAGCTAAAGTCAATGTTATAATATATAAGTAAGGAGATTAATATAAAAATATATGTATGTATTAAGTTGAAAAAAAAAATCACATTTGTTTGGTGTAACAAGAAGCGAGAGAAAGACAAGAGGAGGAACAATAACAATAACATATCACGTGAGGAAAATCAAATAATACTAGCTTAATTGGTGTTTGATAAGTTCGATCTTTCTCTATATCTCTGTAATAAAATTATCTCATATGGAAGATAAATGTGATTTATTAAAAAAATAAGGGAAAAAAGTGTGTCATTTTAGATGACGTATCTTATATCCTTTCACTCTCACAAAGAGATAAGATTCACTCTTTAAAACTTTTTTTCCCATTCTTTCTCTCATAATTTATCTCTTTCTCTCACTTAAAATGATATAACTTTATATCCTTTGAAATAATGGACATTTTTCTCAAAAAAAAAAAAAAAATATCATACGAGAAAAGGAAAGGACTTGGGAGTAAAAAGGGAAGAGTAGTTGTGGAAAAAGGAGTGGTGAAGATGATAAGTTTAAAAAAACAAAGCGTGCACCGTACGAGGCTCCTACAATAGCGCGGTTCGTGGGAGGGGGAGACTCCAAACACCAGCACACAACAAAACAATAAAACAAAAATAAAGAAAATAAAAAAACTTTCGCACTTTGCTTCTTCGTCTTCTTTAACGTTTTGTCCTCCTTGATCTTGTTTTCTTTCCCTCTATAAAACCAGGGTGGGGTTTGGGTTTTTCACCAACCCTATTCTCTTGTTTTCTTGTTTTTTTGCTTTTTTGTTTTCTTCACAATATGAGGAAGAAACTAGATACTCGTTTCCCTGCTGTAAGTTCTATCTTTCCCTTCTTCTTTTTTTCTTCTTTTTGTGTTTGTTAAAAATATGATTGTTCCTTGCTGTTTTCCATTCTATTCACTGTGAGTTATTGGAGGTTGTTTGTTAATCTTTATTATATCATGATTTGGTTTTGTTTTTGTTGGGGTTGGTTATTTTCCTTGTGTTATTGATGGTTCTGACTCACATGGGAGATGGGGTTCTCCTGGTTTTGAAATTTATGTTATTTGTGATTTAATGCCTAAACTTGCTTTCTATTGACACTGGGCTCTGGAATTGTTTTTACGATAATTATTTGCTGTGAATTATTGACTTTGTGAATGAATCAGTTGTTTTGCTGTTCTGTTGAGGAAGTTTGTGTGGCATAACTTACTGGATTAGAGGAAATTTAGATGTCATTGGTTTTTATCCTATGTGGCATTCGTTGGTAAGGGTTAGTGGTCTTTGGCTAATCCTCTTACTGTGTTTTCCAAAGCTATAACTTGCAGGTAAAGTTTTGTTTGAAGAACTATGCCCATAGATGTTATTTTGGATGAAATAAGGGTTGTGTTTGATTCGTGGCAGGTGTATAGCATCATAGTAGGTAGCGGTATAGCGCATTAGCGAAGCCCTATGCACAAACATGTTATATAGATATACCACACATATAAAGGCCTAGAAAATAGAGTTGATGGGCTGGAAGTCGCTGAGAATGGCTGTAACTCAGTTGCCGCCGTCTGTCGAAAGTGGATGGGCTTGTAAATGCTAAGAGTCGAGAATGAGAGGGAGATATTTATGGTCTGCATGGATAAGAGTTGACACACAGAGAGATTTGAGAGATACAGATTAAAAATAGAGCTTAAAAGTCCATTTAACTCTTTTAATACGATTGTTGGGACATCAGATTGAGGAAAATATCTTCCATACTCCCGTGGTACTGGAACACAGTACATCTTTTACTAAATTTTGAAAAAAATAATGTAACTGACTTTTACCATTTTACCCACCCTTTTATGGTTATTCTCATCTAAGTCCCACCTTTTTTCTATTTTTAGTAAAGAAGTAGGTAATATTGTAGTACTAAAGATATGCTCCAGATCGAGGGCAAAAACTGAATTTTCGAACTCCTTCCCTGTAACGCGATTGGCCACGATAGCGGCCGCTATGGCGGCTATTGTGAATCAGAGCGCGCTGCAATCCGCTACCGTGGCGCTATAAGGTGTAATTGTGGTGCGATTAATAATTAAGATTGAGGGAAAGGACAAACAGAACAGGACAGCAGAAGTGGTTGAGTTACAAGAGGCAAGACATTTTTTTGTGTTAGTTGGTTAATTAATAACCAATGCACGCGACTAAATTTTTTGAGATATCTGCTGTTCAATATGCATAAGTACGAGATAGAATAATGCAAAATTTATTGTAATATCTTTTGTGTCATGCAATGTTTGGAAGCACTAGAGTTGGGGAAATAAAGGAGCATGGGTTTTTGGTCTTACTCCTTTTGTGGTGTGGACCAAATTCTATAACCCCGTGTGGACACACTTTTATTACCCGGTTTAGTGGGTAACAAAAATTCAGAGTTTAATATTGTTCCTTAAGTTTTTTTTTTTTTTTGTCCAGTACTCTTTTCTTTTTTTAAAGAAAAACCTTCTGAGAAGTTGTGGTTGACTTGGAGATTTCCTTAGTATAATTTTGTTTGCATTTTTATGTATACTTAGTTTGGAAATAGTTTTTTTTCCTTATGAAGCACCTCTATGCTTTGGTTTGGCTGTGGAACATTGATTACCAATTCTGGGATATAACACGTTCTCTGTGATTTGACACTGCTTTAGTTCATGCTTTCCGTAATGTAAGCAGGGCCGGATGTTGTGTAGTGCGGTTCAAAGTGGACTGTGGTCCCCCTCAAACTTTTTCAAACTCCAATGTATGTGTATATATCTATAACTTTTTACCTGAACTTGCCCCCCTACAAACCATGGTATTTTTGGAGGTATAGCACTGCCACTACCTGTTCTGCAAATGTATTAGAAATGATACCTTGGGACGGATGCAAGGCTAAGCAAGTTGCTTTGTAAACCACGTGGTGTTGAGAATTACTTTCGATTGTAGATGTTATTCTTCAATCTTCTGAGAACGGGTTGTTTACTCCTTTGTTAAAGCTGCTGCTTCCAAGCATTTCCATGTTATAACCCTAGAGGATTGTGCATGACACTTGCTCAAATAGAATATATTACACTTTTTTTGTATTTTTAGGGGAAAGGGTGAGCTATGGGAAATCTGAGTATAGATCACTGCTTATAGAGTAGGACAGACAGTCAGTTTTCTCCTTTTAATCCCCCCCCCCCCCCCCCCCCGCCCAATCTTCTTTTAGTTGAACATTTATCCTTTTCTTCATTCCTTGTTTTAGGGGAATTTCACTTAATTGCATCAAACTGAATGCTCTTTTATTTAGTTTTAGTCATTTTAGTAATGATCGTGTAATCTAATTGAATTGATTATTGATAGGCTAGGATTAAGAAAATTATGCAAGCTGATGAGGATGTAGGGAAGATTGCAATGGCTGTGCCTCTTCTAGTTTGTAAGTCTTTCATACATATTCTGGTTTTCATTCTTTATATTTATATTTTTTTTTTCTTTTCAAACGGTTGTTTTTTGTGCCTTGGGGATTTTGTAATGAGTTATCTTTGGTTTATGATAATGCTTTATGTATTTGCAGCCAAAGCACTAGAGCTATTTCTGCAAGATTTGTGTGATCGAACATATGAGATAACTCTAATGAGGGGGGCAAAGACCATGAATGCTTTTCATTTGTAAGTGAAATTCATTACTTTTTGTTGGGCTTAAATTTGTGTTTATGTCAAGGCCGTAAAAGGTAGTTTTAAGCCTGCAGTTGTCTTCATTTTTTGGGTAGTTAACTATGTTGCTTGTACAAACATGAGAGCTGCAACTCTTATGATAATATGTTTAATCTCATTATGTCTCAGGACTCTTCTATGGATTTAATATTCCAAGATGTATAAGATTAAACTACCCTCTTTCTCCTTCTATTTCTCACATCCCCGAACATGATTAGACATAGGAAAGACATGTCTGCAGAAGAATATGATTTGATGGTCTTGCTTTTGGAACACGCGCTGTTCTAGTATTTCCCGCCTGTTTCTGGTTTCTAATAGGTTGAGTTCCTTGTATCCTTGCCTTTGCAGAAAACAGTGTGTACAGACTTTTAATGTCTTTGATTTTCTGAAAGATATTGTCAGCAAGGTTCCTGATTTAGGTGGTTCAGTTGCAACTGGTGACGATCATACTGTCACTAAGAGGAGGTTTGTGCTTTGGATAATAATACTCTTTTTGCTCGGAACTAGTTTTCTGTGTGCTGAATTTTTTGTTTTATATTAGGAAAGTTGCCGGAGATGATGGTAATGACAGCGATGAGGAAACCAAGAGAAGTAAGATGGTAAGAGATATCAGCTGTTTTCAATCACTTAACTCAGTAGTTGCCTCAATTTTTTCTTGAGAGATTAAGCCTTTTGCAATTTGCTGAGTGATTATCTTTGTGTGCTGTGCACCACTTTGAACGTCTTTTTTTGTTACGTTGGTGATAAAACAATTTACCTCAGTCATTAGGGAAGTTTACTAGTGGCTTGTGAATGCAAGTACCTTTTGTAATTTATAGCTTGTAAAGCTATCCCCTTTTCAACTTAAACCTTTTTATTTGATTTTCTGAAAACTTTTGGCAAAAACTGTTGTAATTGAACAAACTATAAAATCAGCCCGAGCATCTAATGATGAATTTCTAGCTGAGAGATGTGGCACTGTAAAGAACCTGGAAGCTGCTTGATGTTAAATATTATCTGAATAATGTGGTTTTTTTTCTAATGATTTGTACAGCCAGAACCTGGACATACCAGTGGCAGAGGAAGGGGTAGGGGAAGAGGCAGGGGTCGTGGTCGAGGAAGTAGAACAGTAGATCAAGAGATGACTACACATGTCAAGTTTGAAGACGATTCCGATGTATTGAAGCAAAATGACAAGCACACTCAAAGCAATGAAAGCTTGGAAAATGTGTCAGAAGTTAAGCAGAGTTTTCCAGTTAACGAACCGGCTGAAGTATGCATTCGAAATTTTGACTTAAATTTGAACCCAGATGAGGACATGGATTTGTTAGTACCAACTCCTGTCCCAACTAGTTCATCAACAAAATCAATGTCAGAAGAGAAGCATGAGGAATACCCTGGATGGTCCTTGTCTGATGTGGAAAAAATGGCAATTGATCCCATGCAACTGGCCAACTTAAATAGAAGGACTGATGAAGATGAGGAGGATTATGATGAAGAAATCTAGATGAACCTTTAATTGTTGATTTAAATATGGCTTCTGATGTAGGTCAGACATTTGAAATTTCTGATGGAGAGTTAGAATAGATTTTTTAGACGTATCCTTAGTGGTTAGGAAGATTAGGAGGGATAGGACATTGAATACTCTCCTTAGTTTAGGCTAAAAGTGGAAATACTATTCCTTTTAGAAATAGGCAGTGTTGTAATTTTAGAAATTGTAATAGGCATTGCCTATGGTAGGCACTACCTTAAGATTTTAGGTGTACGTTGGGAGTTGGGACTTACTTCACGTACCTCTCAAAATTTGATGGGGATGGATGGCTCCCTTAGGCAATGCTTTTACAAGTATTTTCTTTATGATCTTGTTCTCCCATTAATCACAGTTTGTACATCTACTTCCCCAAGCTTTTTGCAAGATCCTTAAACTTTTGATTACTTTCTCACTTGTTTGGGCTAGGAACCTTTTGACCATTTGATTGGATTGTTAGAATTGACTTTGCGTGAATATTACTTGTGTACTTTTGAGAGCACGTCTGCCAGAAGAGACCAAGGTGTTTTGCATGCACCAAGTTTCCATCCCTGACGTCTGTCATATCACTCTGAATTTTGGAAATTTTAGCTTAATGCTTTTTCAACCCATAATAAATATATGGAATATTTGTTCTTATGAGATAAATTTTTTTTATGTTCGTACAAAAAAATGAATGGAATTTATTAAGAAAAAGAAAAAGAAGAAGAAAATAAGTAGGTTTCACTCATTTTTGTTTATGTGTATGATATAATTTTATTTCATGCAATATGACAAATTATATTCCATCCATGTAAGCTAAAATGTCAACAAGTATGGGCTAGATTTCTTGACCTATTCAAGCCTATTAAAAATTAGAAAAAAAGGAATAAAATAATTTTATTTTATAAAGACTCATCCATGATGTCGTAAAGAGTTATAAAGACTCATTTATATATTACTCTAGATGTGGTACTTATCAAGGTTATGACCGAAGATAGATCCATCCAAGATGGAAGTTTTCTGAGGTGGAACGTAGTGTGTTAAAATAGTTTACATGATTCTCTCCATATACTTTCACACAATCTAACGAATTAGGAGGAGGATGGATAGACCCTTGAAGACATAATTTTATTTATTTATTTATTTATTTTTTTGGAAAAAGGTACTTTTGAACACATAATCTAACGCCAAGCATTAAGCAAAGAGTTAATAGTGAATCTGAGAGTGCAATGATCAAGTATATATATTATTAGTGAGCAAACTCGTAAATGGTGATTATTGTAATTTGGCAAATGAATTTGTCAAAAGATGTTCGATCAAAAGTTACAACCTCTATTGGTGATTTTATTGACTATATTGTTAGTTAGCAAACTTGTAAATGGTGACAATTGTTATTTGCTAAAAAGGAAGTGGTAATTGGCACCTATTCATAACTAATCACCTAATTAACAAGTTGGCCAGCTAGCTCAGAAGCCTTTTCGAGAAAGTTCCTATAACTGAAGTTCAAATAACTGCAATATTAAGGGAGACCCTACACAAACTCGAATATATATATGTGACCATTTTTAATTGTATTTGCGGGACTCATTTAATCATCATTTTTCTTTCACTTTGATTGGTACAGTAACTCACTAAGCAAGGTGGGCCATTCACCTACTCAGACAACTTGTAAGAAAAACATTAAACTAGAATTCCAAAATGCATATTTAATTTGGTCCTAATTCTAGGGACACCTAAATAGTTGTCCCATGAAAAAGGTGATATAGTTCAAGAGGCTAGACTCACCAGGCGTTGCGGTTTTCCACTTAAAAGCAAATAATGTTCTTACTTGGTTGTATATCCATTTGAGAGTGCAAGGAAAAACATGGAGATATATCCTACCCATTGGAATTTGAAGTCGCAATTTGTGATACTAATGGAGTTGAATCAGTGTCTTCAGGTATTCCGAATGAATGATTAAAAATTGTTGTGAGCTGGTTATATACATTGATCAATTGGATTAACAAGGTGTATTTATATGCCATTTTTGTTATGGATAATCTAAAGGATAATTCTCTATAACTTGGGGAGAGAGAATTAAGAAAACTTAACAACTTTTGAACAAATATAAACTAATTTCTTTTTTTACTAATAATTGTTTCTAAATAATAATGTGTAACTATTTCACTTCAAAAGGCTTATAGTCAAACAAATCCAAATATACAATTCATAATTTTATCTCCAGTATATATATAGGTTAATATGCAAATTAATTTTGTTCATAAATCAATTTTATGTATCAAACAATAATTTAATGTAATTGAATATAAATAACTTTAAATTTATATCTTATGATTTGATTTTTTTCTCTCTCCTTAAAATAATACATAAACGTTCTCAAAAAAGGGGGAGAACGAAAACATGAAAACTACAAAAGTAAATTATTTTCTCTATTTTTATTTGGGTGTCCAGTAATTGAAGAGAATGAAAATAACCTATATTAAAGTTACAATTGATTTTATTAATATGTTTTCCTTGTGATAAATTTTTAATTTTTATAATAAAAAATTCTAATCTCGTATTCTTAGGTTTGCATCATTATTAATAGGGAGCCTCTATTACTATCTAATTATAATTAAAATTAAAAAATTAGGTGTAATTAAGTGAAATTGGAAATAACTAATATATTTTGTGGTGCAAGATAAGAAAATAACAAAACGTATTTTAATAAAAAAAAATAACTGAATATATTTCATAAAAAATGCATCCTGAGCATGGAAGTTTAAAACGCATAAAATAAAAGATGCTTTTATAAAAATATACAATAACGGTAAATTCCATGAACAAAGTAGCATATATTTTGACAAAAAAATTTATTATTTTTTCATCAGCAGGAAAATGTAAATATTTTTAATGAAACATTATAAAATATTTTCATACAGAAGATATACTATATATATAGAGAATGATGTCTAAACTATTTTATTAAAAAGCAGAATCGTTTAATGAATTAGAACATTAAAATAAAGAAATATCAGATATTCTACATGAACACACCTTTTTCATGAGTATTTTTTTTAGTGTTTTTATTAAAATACATTATTTTATCATTTTATAAAAAAAAAATACAATTTTCCTATTTTTATTTCTTGAATTTTGAAGTTTAAGATTAAACACTTATGTATTCATTAAATATAATATTATTCTATCTATTCAATAAAATTATACTTCAGTAAGTATATCAAATGACTTTGAAAAAGTATTTGTACGTGCTAATTAATAACAGCAAAATTATTACATCAACCCTATATTTTATACTTACCTGTATCCACACACAAAAAATATTTAAAATATATCGCTAGAAATTCGATGGGAATTTGATTAGTAACAAACATAGAGATAAAGTCACGTAAAAAAACAAGGTAAATTACATGAAACCACCTTAATTATAAGTGCTCTTTCAAAAAAACCATCATTCACTTCCAATTCAATCAAGTAATCCCTTTATATTTATACTTTCAAATCACAATCAAGCATACAAAAATACCCCTTGCAAAGTGTTGTTTGTGTTGGTGACCTTGATGTTTCCGCCGCCTGCTAATAATCCCAAATCGCTCGTTAATATGTAAGTGCATAAGGCTTAATCTAGGAGCAAAGCAAACTTACCGTGGGCCGGGAACTAAAAAAATTAGGTGGGACTGAGGTGAGGAAAAGAGAGAAAAAGTTGAGGAGAGAGGAGAGAAAAAAGAAAAATAAATAAATTTAATACAGGTGTCAATTTTTGAGTGGAAGGACCACGGTGGTCCCGGAGAATATTAAAAAATTCCTTAATCTAGAAGGTGTTTATGAGATATTACGATTCCAATTATGTTAAAGACATAAAGAACTAAGATATTAGAATTTAACTAAGTGATTTTTAGATGATGAATTATTTAAAACAATTAAGATAAAAAATTATTGAATTAACCTCCAAAAAAAAAAAAAAAATTATTGAATTGAATTAAATCACTTAATTATGATGATCAAGGTGATGTAGACTAGCTGCAGTTGTCATTCTTTATTTAAAAATCCATCTTTTATTTTATTTTTGATTTTAATTTCTAGTCATGCATTTCTAAACAGAATAGCCATTTTCAAGTAGTGTTCGATCGATTACGTATTAATCAATATTCGATTCATTGTTATGAGGTTATCCACAAATTTTTTTTTGTCTAAGTCACTTTATTTCTTTTTGTCCAAGTTATTTCTTTTTTTGTCCAAAAATTCATCTATATATGGATGAATTCATATTTAATTTATATTGATGCTTTATTACACTACCTTTTTTGCGTAGATCTTTACATATTCGTATTTTATATCATTGATATCTCTCTTTCTTTCACCTCATCACCTTATTTATCCGTATATTTTTATTGCTTTACAACCCAAAATACTGCATAATTTTTTCTCGTTCATTTTCATAATTATTTTTCTAGCAATTAAAAATTATTTTTCTAAAATCATCTTTGATTTATTCAAATTAGGTGAAATAATTAAAATAATGCTTGAAGTCCCTAATCCTTGTGAGAAAGATATATTTTCTGATAACTTTATTATTTTTACGATCGATATATTTGTTGTAAGGAGAATATTAATACTACTTGATGTGGGGAATCTTGTTATGCTCAGAGGAGTCTCATTCTTGCATAATGTGCTTATGTAATTTGGGCATTGGCCCTTCTTGTAAGTTGTAACCCCGAAAAGAAAAGGCTAAGTGAAAAAAAATGACAAATGTTTCAAATAAAAATAAAAAAACAAGATATTGATTTATTTGAGTTTGAGATGACACCGTTTCTCTCAAGTGGCATAGTAGGTCAATGTAATAGTGAATTGGTGAGATAATAATGTAAATTAAAACAAAAATATATAGTCATTGTTTAAAGTGATCTATTAATCTCATGTTGCATAAGATAATTATCTCTTGCAACAGAGACAAAATAGTAGAGTCCACTACTTTTTCAAAAAAAGAAAAAAAAATAATGCACCTCACTATTTTGTCTCTAACTATCTCATGTAACATGAGATAATTATTTCACTTATTTAAATCTCAAGCAGACGTTGAGAATTGTGGGGAGCTTCGAATGACATGATTGACTATAGGGTTTTTTTTTTTTTTTTTTTTCATGTCACATGAGGTAGCATCTCTTATGCCATAAACACATCAAGTGGTGGGGCCCATCACTTGTTAAAAAAAACAAAAAAACAAAAAGATAACACAGATTTCGATGTCTCACAACATTGAGAAAACTAAAAAAATGATTTTCCTTGACTATATATGAGGATGTAATTCAGTAAAGTAATAATAATAGAGAATAATAACTCGAGTAAAGTAATCCCATAACCGTACTCTTAACCTATGTTTCACTAATATTCATTTTCCCACACGTTGACTTTAAGTTAATTCTAACAAATA